ACAGCATCACATTTTGTTACGCTGTTATTGTATTATTCAAATTTACACATGCTGAATTTAGGAAAATCCAAAATTTTTCACAAGAACTTTGCTGCCCAGTCCCTGGACCCATTATGTACCTCTAATCTTATGACTACTGCCCATACCATGGGTATGGGGTGACTACCACCTATATCTGGAGTTTACCTGGAGAGAGTTCCGGGGGTAAACGCCCCCGCGGCCCGGTCTGTGACCAGGCCTCATGGTGGATGGGTATGGGGTAGAGTGGATAGGTATGGGGTAACTACCACCCACATCATGGGTATGAGGTGACTACCGGTCACACCATGGGTATAATGTGACTCCACCCACACCATGGGTATGGAGAGACTACCATCCACACCATGGGTATGGAGAGATTACCATCCACACCATGGGTATGGAGAGACTACCATCCACACCATGGGTATGGAGAGACTACCATCCACACCATGTGTATAGAGAGACTACCATCCACACCATGGGTATGGAGAGACTACCATCCACACCATGGGTATGGAGAGACTACCATCCACACCATGGGTGTGAGGTAAGTACCACCTACAGGACGGGTATGGGCAGACTACCACAGGGATGTTACGAAATAATTCTTTAGCCTTAGTTTAGGCAGTGGTAGAAGCAGAATCCATACATAGCTTTAAGAATGGGTATAATAGGCTCACGCAGCCAGGAGAGTGAACTCAATAACGGCTAGTGGGGAGGCGGGTCCAAGAGCTGAAACTCGACTACTTGCTGCCACACACACATGCACACGCACACACACACACACACACACACACACACACACACACACACACACACACACACACACACACACACACACACATATATATATAGGTGACTACATCCAGGCCAAGTGTCTATCGACAAGTGCCTTTGACAACTAGTAACCACACAGGAAGGATGGGGAGGGGAGCTTGATAACGACATATAAAATACTGAGAGGAATTGACAAGGTGAACAGGGACAGACTGTTTCAGTGATTAAACAGCAACAAGGGGTCACAACTAGTTGTAAATTGAAAACTCAGATGAGTCACAGGGATGTCAGGAAGTATTTCTTCAGTCATAGAGTTGTCAGAAAGTGGAACAATCTGGAGAGTGATGTAGTGGAGGTAGTATCCATATATAGCTTTAAGAAGAGGTACGATAAAGCTTACGGAGCAGGGAGTGAACCTAATAACGACCAGCGAAGAGGCGGGGCCAGGAGCTATGACTCGATCCCTGCAACCACAAACAGGTGAGTACACACACACATACACACACTTCCTCTCGTTTTAATATGGGGAATATTTCATGGATCTCTGAGCGGTTTAAATGGTATTGGTACCGTGTTCTCCCACCAAGGATTTTATAGTTACATCACACGAGTATGCAAATAGATTACAATGTATGATTTACAAGCCGCTGTGTATATATAAACATTACATTTATTTGTGGTTATGGAAATATTTCCTCTGAAGCCCTACAAATATTATATATATATATATATATATATATATATATATATATATATATATATATATATATATATATATATATATATATATATATATATATATATATATATATATATATATATTTCTTTCAACACACCGGCCGCATCCCACCGAGGCAGGGTTTACCTGGAGTTTACCTGGAGAGAGTTCCGGGGGTCAACGCCCCCGCGGCCCGGTCTGTGACCAGGCCTCCTGGTGGATCAGAGCCTGATCAACCAGGCTGTTACTGCTGGCTGCACGCAAACCAACGTACGAGCCACAGCCCGGCTGATCAGGAACCGACTTTAGGTGCTTGTCCAGTGCCAGCTTGAAGACTGCCAGGGGTCTGTTGGTAATCCCCCTTATGTATGCTGGGAGGCAGTTGAACAGTCTCGGGCCCCTGACACTTATTGTATGGTTTCTTAACGTGCTAGTGACACCCCTGCTTTTCATTGGGGGGATGGTGCATCGTCTGCCAAGTCTTTTGCTTTCGTAGTGAGTGATTTTCGTGTGCAAGTTCGGTACTAGTCCCTCTAGGATTTTCCAGGTGTATATAATCATGTATCTCTCCCTCCTGCGTTCCAGGGAATACAGGTTCAGGAACCTCAAGCGCTCCCAGTAATTGAGGTGTTTTATCTCCGTTATGCGCGCCGTGAAGGTTCTCTGTACATTTTCTAGGTCAGCAATTTCACCTGCCTTGAAAGGTGATGTTAGTGTGCAGCAATATTCCAGCCTAGATAGAACAAGTGACCTGAAGAGTGTCATCATGGGCTTGGCCTCCCTAGTTTTGAAGGTTCTCATTATCCATCCTGTCATTTTTCTAGCAGATGCGATTGATACAATGTTATGGTCCTTGAAGGTGAGATCCTCCGACATGATCACTCCCAGGTCTTTGACGTTGGTGTTTCGCTCTATTTTGTGGCCAGAATTTGTTTTGTACTCTGATGAAGATTTAATTTTCTCATGTTTACCATATCTGAGTAATTGAAATTTCTCATCGTTGAACTTCATATTGTTTTCTGCAGCCCACTGAAAGATTTGGTTGATGTCCGCCTGGAGCCTTGCAGTGTCTGCAATGGAAGACACTGTCATGCAGATTCGGGTGTCATCTGCAAAGGAAGACAAAAGGAAAAACGAAAGCTTCTCCTTTTACATTTAGTAATATATACAGGAGAAGGGGTTACTAGCCCCTTGCTCCTGGCATTTTAGTCGCCTCTTACAACACGCATGGCTTACGGAGGAAGAATTCTGTTCCACTTCCCCATGGAGGTAAGAGGAAATAAACAAGAACAAGAACTAGAAAGAAAATAGAAGAAAACTCAGAGGGGTGTGTATATATATGCTTGTATATGTATGTGTAGTGTGACCTAAGTGTAAGTAGAAGTAGCAAGACATACCTGAAATCTTGCATGTTCACGAGACAGAAAAAAGACACCAGCAATCCTACCATCATGTAAAACAATTATAGGATACCGTTTTACACTCACTTGGCAGGACGGTAGTACCTCCCTGGGTGGTTGCTGTCTACCAACCTACTACATATATATATATATATATATATATATATATATATATTATATATATATATATATATATATATATATATATATATGGTCTCGAGTATTATTATTAAAGTAACTACAGTATTATTATTATTATTATTATTATTATTATTATTATTATTATTATTATTATTATTATTATTATTATTATTATTACGGGTACTGCTGTTATTGTTGTCCTTTTTATACAAGTATTATATGGTTGTGTATGATAATGTTAAGATAGGCAGGTGAGGTTGTGTGGTTCAATACGTCAGCAGTCAAGTGTTTCTCTTTACTTTTCAGTGATTTTTTTTTTTTGGGGGGGAGGGGCATATACCACGTAATAAAAAAAATTTAAAAGGGTGGGCGAGGATGTTGCAGTTTGGAGGGTCATGGGATGTCCACACATATTTCCGGCCAGACAGCTACTGAATGAGTGATTTTGAGTGTCCTCCTCACTTATATGTGGTTGCAGGGGGGTCGAGTCTCAGCTCCTGGCCCTGTGTTTCCAGCTCATGTTTCAGTGTGAGACGGCCGGTGTTAAAAAAAAAAAAGAATTATGGTTGGAGAGGAGTGTTAGAAGTGGCAGACGGACAGAGAAATGAGAGGTGTTACATTGAGTGTTTGATCAATATATTACTCACATCCTCCACCACCAGCACCACCACCGCCACCGCCACCGCCACCGCCACCACCACCACCACCACCACCACCACCGCCACCGCCACCACCACCACCACCGCCACCGCCACCACCACCACCACCGCCACCGCCGCCACCACCACCACCGCCACCACCGCCACCACCACCACCACCAGTCCACCACCACCACCACCAGTCCACCACCACCGCCACCGCCACCAGTCCACCACCGTCACCACCACCACCACCACCACCACCACCACCACCACCACCACCACCACCACCACCACCACCACCACCACTTCCCCTTTTATTGCTACAACAAAATGACGTGTAAACTAATTTCTTAATTAGAGAGATGCCATCAGTTTGAGAGTGGTGTTGGCTTATCTGGCGATGGTGAACTGTGATCAGGCAAGGCAGGTTGATAACACTGTTGTGGACTGTGTGTGAGATGAACAGAGATAAGCGAGTGAGAGACAGACAGACTCGGAGAGAGACAGACAGACAGACTCGGAGAGAGACAGACTTGGAGAGAGACAGACAGACAGACTTGGAGAGAGACAGACTCGGAGAGACAGACAGACAGACTCGGAGACAGAAAGACTTGGAGAGAGACAGACAGACAGACTTGGAGAGAGACAGACTCGGAGAGAGAGACAGACAGACTTGGAGAGAGACAGACAGACTTGGAGAGAGAGACTCGGAGAGAGAGACAGAGACTCGGAAAGACAGACTCGGAGAGAGACAGACAGACAGACTTGGAGAGAGACAGACTCGGAGAGAGAGACAGACAGACTTGGAGAGAGACAGACAGACTTGGAGAGAGAGAGAGAGACTCGGAGAGAGAGACAGAGACTCGGAAAGACAGACTCGGAGAGAGACAGACAGACAGACTTGGAGAGAGAGAGACAGACTCGGAGAGAGAGAGAGACTCGGAGAGAGACAGACTTGAAGAGAGAGACAGACAGACTTGAAGAGAGAGAGAGACAGACTCGGAGAGAGAGACAGACTCAGAGAAAGAGAGAGAGGACAACGTTAGCGCAGTAAAGCTTGCATGCAACAGTGCCGTCGGCGGCTGCGACAAACACTCCTCCAGCTGCCACATCTTCACCACCATTTTTCACTCCCCTTCCTCCCTCCAGTGGGTCGTATCTCTCCATCCACCCACAGAACATACACAAGCTGAGCGTTTCGACGCGAACTGTGAGGGGTGTGTGGAGTGGAGGTGTGGCGGGGAGAGCAAAAAAAAAGAGTGCGTGGAGGGTGGTGCGGGGGGAGGCTAAGTGGGTGTGTGAGGGGCGAGTGTGCGTCAGTCAGGGGTGAGTCCTGGGGAAGATGGCGACCTCTCTCAAGTCTGAGGACCATATTCTCCACAACTCCATGCTCGAGGACGACCCCAATGACAACTCCGCCACCAATGAGGAGGAGAAGACCAAGCCCCGCTGGGGGCCATACCACAAGGGCGCTAAGGAGCTAGCAGGCCTCTACAGCAGGGGTAAGGAGAGAGGGCTAGTCTGCTGGACGGGGGTGTTGCTGCTGTCTTGTTGGTGATTTAGCAGTCAACCTGTCTCTCTAACCTCTCCATTAACACCCTGTTTACAGCCAAAATCCTACACAAGTTCATCTATAAACGAGTGCACTCGGGATTTGTGTTTCTGAGTGAGTGTTAAATAAGTGTATCGCGTCCTGGTCAGTGATAGCCTCTGCTCTTTAATTCCTAAACATTTTTGCCTGTACAGGACTGCAGGCGAGAATTATGCAAGGCGTGGACCAGTGGATAATATTTATAGTAAGGGGGAAAAGATCTGGAATATACTAGATGTATAAAATCATATTAGCTCCTGTTAAGCTAGATAGTTCCTGCCCTTTACAGATGGACTTTCTCTCGAAAGGTTATAAAACTACATATAAATGTTGTGTTGTCTTAAGTTATTATTCTTCACATCAACATTATATGCCACAAATAGTATGTTTCCAAATGCACCAATTAAGTACATCTATATATTGTTCATGTTTTAAACTTTTTCGAGAATTTATAGGTATAATATTATGGGCATAAATAGTACATTATATACTACTTTTTAACCTAGGATAACAATAATAAAGTCAAACAGATATGATTGATTTCCATTTAGGCCATTGCAGAAAGTTTTGTAATGTAAATTTAAAAAAAAAAAAAAACATTCAGTAATTAATCAAAGTATTCAAGATGACATAAGACAAATTTTTCGTGGATAAGAAACATATTCTGTTATATAATTCATTACTTCTAAGGTGCAGTCAAAAACTTGCAGAAATTATCAAGGTTTTTAGAATTTTCATATAAATGAAAAAAATTATCAGTTTCATGAATATTTTATATACCCCCAGACAAAAGTGAGCTTTATTTATATTCACCATGCTTTTTTTTTTTTAGGCTGTTATAAAATTATGCGATGGCTTCAATAAATACCGTTGTAGTCATATTTAAAGGTAATTATTCGGTCTGCTTAATGTGCTTTACCATTAAGTTTGTTTAGGTAAAATATTACATAATTTTTTTATATTAAAATTGTCTTGCATATTAACTTGTGCTATCTAACTTCAACAACTCCCCAAGAAAGTCAGTGAATTATTTCCATTGAGGTCCTCAGAATACATTACTTTTAACTGCCTAACCATTGTAACATGATAGTTTTAATTTTGACTAGAGGATAAGCTCTCCTTTCTGTGTAGACTGTATGAAAATTTTTGTTAATTATTTTAATCCTTAGAGTATACAAAGTAAGTTTATTTTGAGGTACAAGTACACACAAGTACAGTGGTACTTAGAGTTTCGAACAGCTCCCAACTCGAACAATTATGTAAGTGTATTTTTGTAAGTGCTTTTGTAAGTGTATTTTTGGGGGTCTGAAACAGACTAATCTAATTTACATTATTCCTTATGGGAACAAATTCCTTCAGTATTGGCACTCAAACAGCCTTCTCAGATCGAATCAAATCAGAAGTTTATTGTCTGTAAAGATTACAATGTGGGGTTTACATATTATAAAATACTAATTACAGAGAGGGTCACTATCGTGCCTAGCATGACTAGGCATTTCGGGAACGAATTAAGTTCGTAACTCGAGGTACCGCTGTACAAGTAGTATCGTACAGTTTAACATGTGTGTAAATTACTGAAGATAACCCAAGAAAGTCAAGCAAAGTGACTTTAATTTCCATTGGAATTCATGTAATGTCTTATTTAAAGCCTAGCAGTAAATTACAATAGGAATCAATATTGATTATAACCTTAAAAGTTAAAATTGCTAAGTAACTCTACTGTGTGAAAATCATTTACAATAGGAGATACTATAGGAATACAGTACACTAGGTTATTTACATGAACATTAAAGACAGGATTATCTTACCATATTAGGTACATGAATGTTAACTCTACAATAAAATAAGGCATGTTTCTTCATGCATTTGCTTATGCTCACTTAGCAGCAAGTGGGTACCTGGGTTTAAGATATTGCCACATCCTTGGAGAGGCCCCTAAGATGCCAGTGAAGATGACCCTTGATGACTTGCTTTCTTGAGTTATCCTGGGTTAATAACCCTCCGAGGTTAAGCTGAATAGTAATGGTCTTCAAATTCAAATTCAAATTCAAAGTTTATTCTCTATAAGGATTACAATGCTGAGTTTACAGAATTTGGTTATTGTGTGGTTTACATGTAGTAAAATAATTAGAGTGTACCACTAGAACACCTAGCATGGCTAGGCATTTCGGGCAGACTTAGATTAAATCTTAAGTTTAAAATATTACAAAATTATGAGGTAAGTTGGTATTATGGCTAAGTGACTAAATACTAGTTTGTGAGTTTAGCATTGTGAATGCTTTTGTTTTGGCACTATACATAGTTTCAGTATTGGAGTATCACAGGCCAACTTATGACTAGTTAAGATTCATTATTTTGAGATTGAAATTGATATTTCTGTTTATGGTCAAATGGGTGAGTGAGTGTAAGTGTTAACCACCAGGTGGTATTCGTGTAATTAGTTGACAGGGTGTATCAGGGAGATAAGATGTTTTCTGATGGTAGTTTTGAAGATGATGAATGTGTGTGCAGTTTTAGCATTTTCAGGTAGGGTGTTCCAGATTTTAGGGCCTTTGACATACATTGAATTTTTGTAAAGGTTTAGTCGGACACGGGGAATGTCATAGAGATGTTTGTGTCTGGTGTTGTGCCTGTGGGTTCTGTCACAACTATCAAGAAAGCGTTTTAGGTCAAGGTTAATATCGGAATTTAAGGTCCTGTAGATGTAGATTGCACAGTAGTAAGTGTGGATGTTCTGAACAGGGAGTAAGTTTAGATCTATGAAGAGTGGGGGGGGGGGGTGTTGCCAGGGATGGAATTTAGTGATTATTCTTACTGTGGCTTTTTGTTGGGTTATTATTGGCTTTAGGTGTGTTGCTGCAGTTGAACCCCAAGCACAGATAGCATAGGTGAGGTATGGATATACAAGTGAATGGTATAGTGTGAGAAGGGCAGTTTGCGGCACGTAGTATCGTATTTTGGAGAGGATCCCAACCGTATAAAATGTACAGCTAGGTTTTAAATAAGATATTACAAGGACATCAATGGAAATGAGTCACTTTATCTGACTTTTGGGGTTATTCTAGGTGATTTACACATGTTAAACTATGCATGATAATTAAACTTGCATGTGCCTGTACCTAAGTAAACTTACTTACAAGAGCTTTGTATTTTAACTGGAAAATTTGCATATTGCATGTACATACTTATTATAGTTATGGTATATAGAAGTTACACACATACTTTGTGGCAATATTTTATAACTGAACTGAGGCTGTCCCTACAATTGTACGACCCATACCAGTTTAGCGTTTGTTTCTTTGTATATGTAGCTAACCTTTAATTTAATGGACTAATATGGGAGAGAGGGGATACCCACTAACTCACATTTTTTCTATAATCATAATGGAAAATTCTGGCTTTAATGTACTTTGTCCATTAAATCGAAAAATCGGTTAACTCGGGGAACTGCCACAATAATGAACAATTCTTAATTTAACAGACTTAAACCCAGACTTAAGATTGATAACAATTCTGATTTAAGATTTGGTCTATTAAATCTGAAATGCATTTACCTAGTGGATTATAGCCATAACAGACAACACAGGATACAAGAAACTTATTTTTTTTCTGGGTGTTGTCTGGACAGAGTTGGTTCATTAAATTAGGGTTTGTTAGATCTAGGTTTTTCAAGTCAGTATATGTAATAATAGTTTTATTTCAGCATGATACAATGTTTTTACAGAGATGGGTGACATTTAGTTGTGCAAGCAGAAAGCCCATAGTGCTTGGGCCTTTATAGCTAACCCTTTGTTAATGTCCTCATATCTCATCCAGATACACATGTATATCATGCTTGAATGTTTAATCATAGAATGAGTGCACATAAGGATCTAGTATACACCTGCTTGCAGGTGCTTTTGTTCTTCCTTTTGTTTTCCTTTACAGTTTTGGTTGGTATTAGAATAGCAGATGCAGTCCCCTAGGGAAGTGCTTCCATCCTGCCATGAGAATGTGAAACAAGCCTATTATATGCTTTTCGCCATATTAGGATGGCTCGCTTTTCTCTTAATTGAATGTGGATGTCCTTCTGTTATACAGATTTATAACTTAGCTGGAAGTTTTTGTAAAAATGTGGATTTATTAATGGATTTATTAATTTTATTAATGGTTTTTTAAAATCCAGCCGATCTTTGCCTTGGGCCCTTTCCCCTCACTACTCGAGGGTAGGCTATCTTAGGAGCTGACCTTCATAAGTCAGCTGAAATAGGATGTTAGGCTAACATTAAGGAAAGATACCTTTTTGTTAAGCAACTCCTCTGCCACATGCTCCTTCCTAAGCATCATGGCGAAGATTCGGGTAAGATTACGCACTGTTGGAAATCAAATGTCCATGAAAGACATTCTCAATTGTATTTGCTCTAACTCAACTGTTGCTCCAGTGGATGTTTTTAAAACCCACACTGGAGTAGTACTTCTCCTCTCTTCTGAAGAAGAGTTACTCCAACTCCTAAAGCATGATGTCTTGGATAAACTGAAGACTTCTGGTGTTATCCCAGTTGCACCTGACAGCTATCAAGCTCAGAGGACTGTGTTTGTGGCCAGAATCAACAGTTTTATGAAACACAGCAATGTTAATGAAATTGTTGATAACATTAATACCGAGAATTCTGACCTTAGGGCTGTTGAAGCACATAAATTCTCGAATCCCAACAACAATAAGGTAACTTTAAAATTAATACTCGAGACACCTGAAGAGGCCAAACTTGTGTGTCAAAATGGCTTCAAATGTTTCAATACCAGATGTACATCTGACCAAATTTCCATGGAACGCTTTGTCAGTGTGACACAATGTTTCAAGTGTTATGCCTTTGGTCATAACAACAACAAATGCAGTATACAAGGGCAAATTTGTAGCATTTGCTCTGGCCA